ATGACACTTGGGAGTTGGTGGATCTTCTTGAAGAAAAGGAACTAGTGGGATGCAAGTGGGTATTCACAGTAAAGTATAGGGCTAATGGTTCAATAGAAAGGTACAAAGCCAAATTGGTGGTCAAAGGGTTTGCACAAGTATATGGAGTAGACTATGAAGAGATCTTTGCTCCAGTAGCCAAGATGAATTCGATCAGAATCCTCCTTTCACTGGCAACTAATCTTGATTGGGAACTTCACTAGTTGGAGGAGGAGGTTTACATGACTCAACTTCCAGGTTTCTATGCAAAGGTAGTGAGCAGAAGGTGTGCAGGTTAAAAAAAATCATTGTATGGGTTGAAACAATCACCTCGAGCCTGGTTTAGTAAGTTTCACTTAGTTGTACAACAGATGGGGTTCAAACAATACTAGTCAGATCATACTCTGTTTGTGAAGAAAGGTGAAGGGAAAATTGCAACTTTAATTGTGTATGTTGAGGACATAGTGGTCGCAAGAGATCGGAAGACTGAAATACAGAAGCTGAAGAAATTCCTAGACACTCAATTCGATGTGAAAGATCTAGGCCCCTTATGTTATTTCCTTGGGAGTGAAGTCACCCGCTCTCAAAAGGGCATCTTTATTTGCCAAAGGAAATATGTACTAGATCTATTAGAGGATGTAGGCAAGTCAGGAGTGAAGCGAATTGATTCACCCATTGAACCCAACCATTAGCTGGGAGACAGTCAGGGGGAGCTTTTGAAAGATGTGAAGAAGTTCTAGAGACTTGTAGGGAGACACTTATATTTGTCTATGACCAGACCTGATATTGCCTATGCAATGGGTGTCCTTAGTCAGTTAATGCATAACCTTAAGACAACATACTTTGAAGTTACAGAAAGGATCCTTAGATACCTCAAAAAGTTCCCAAGAGTTGGTTTTCTATTCTAGAAACATGGGCATTTGAAAGTGGAGGTGTATAYAGGTGCTGATTGGGCAGGGGCAGTCGATGACAGAAAATCTACCAGTGGGTATTGTACCTTTGTGGGTGGAAACTTAGTCACCTGGAGAAGTAAGAAGCAAAGTGTAGTGGCTAGATCTAGTGTTGAAGCAAATACAGAGYTATGTCTCATGGAGTTGTTGAAATCATGTGGATAAAAAACATTTTAGGAGAGCTGGGTTTTACAGTTAACAAACCTATGTCACTCTATTGTGACAATAAAGATGCTATCAATATTGCTGCTAATGGCTAACCTAGTCCTCCATGATAGAACAAAACATATTGAAGTGGACAAGCATTTTATTTGAGAAAAAACTTGTGAGCGGAGAAGTGTGTACTCCATATGTTAGTTTAGAAGAACAACTTGTAGACATCATCACCAAGGGCCTTCATCATGTGCGGCATAATAATTTGTGTGACAAGTTGGGCATGATTGACATCTATGTCCCAACTTGAGGGGGAGTGTTGGAATGTTTACTTTATTTTTTATGTTTGTATTCTGCTGAGTTAGGGTCTGTTTGGTCTGGTTAAAGTAAGTTTTTTATCATTGTTTATGTACTCTAACTTAAGCAGGGGCATAGGGGTCTTTTCCCTTTTAATTATGGTTGCCCTTATATATAATAATATAAGATGGTGCCCAGTCAGTTAGTTGACTCCAAAACCTTTCTCTTCTCTTCTCCCTTCTTTCCTCTCTCTCTCTCTCTCTCTCTCTCTCTCCCTCCTCTTCTTCTTCCTTATTTCTCCTCTCTTCTTCTGTTAATAGGTATTGTGGGGGAGATTAAATTGGTGTTTAATAAAGGAAAGGAGCGATGCGAGAACCGCTTTGTGGTTACAGCAAAAGAAAAGGTTGAAGATTGATATGCAATCGGAGAAGCATTCAATAACTTCTTGAAATTGAAAGGCTCGTTAATGCTAACTCCATTTGATGAGAGCAAAGTGATTCTTGATATTTTGGAAGATGTGGTAGAAATAGTAACTTCCTCTCTTCAAACAAAGTGTGGCCAGTTTTTAATCTCATGATGGAGTCCTGGTTCAACCCAAAGGATCTGCAACCTGATGGTGGGATAACAATAAGGATCCTGGGGTTGCCCTTTCATTTCAGATGCTTTCAACTTTTAAGGCAATTGCTAAAGCTTGTGATGGCTGTCTAACCGGTGTCTTTGCTAAAGATCTTCATTCGGTGGCTGTGAGATTGATGGGAGTGAAGCCTAAAGAAATTCCAAGAAAGATGGAAGTATTGTTAGACGGCAGGTTTCATAGTATCTAGATTGCAACTTCTGTGGAAGCTGCTCTCTGGAGTGGAGGACACAGGGTGGAACATGAATGGTTTGAAGAAGATGAGCTACGTGGAAGGAAAAGTTTGGAGAAATCTTTTTTATTGGATTCTTGTTTGGAAAAGGGCGTGGAGAATTTGTATGAGCAGGATGTTATGCACCATTTTGCTAACTTTGGTACCTCAACAGCTGGAGCACAGTCTGGCAGCCGAACCGACGCACAGGCATTAGCTGGTGGGATAGTTGAACAACACCTTCACAGAAAATGGATAGCATGCAGGGTAAGATTGGGGAGGTGAACCAATAGAGTTTAGAGGGAGATCTAAATGCGGATGGCAATAAAGTTGATTTTAAAGCTGCTCCAGGTAACCACGTAATCAAAATTGGTAAGGGGTGTTTTGGGCTTCGCTGAACCATTTTATTTGAACCGGTCGATTTAACATTTCAAGGTTTAGGAAATAACATGACCTAGTTGAGAGTCTTGAGGGAGGATATTTATTCTTCCCCATTTAAGGCTCCTGTGAACATTTCAGATGATGAGAAGGGCATAACTTCTGGATAAAATCCTTCATCTTCAGACCCTGGGATTGGTCCGAGAGATGGAAAGAAGATTGATGGGAGAATGCAGATTTCCCTCGATGGAGGTCCATGGGAAACTCGAAGGTACCTGGTAGACTGGAGAAACAAGGGTAGGGGATAATTCAGCATCTGATGAAGTTTTGATGAGAACTTCAAAAGGAAAACCAAAGACACCTGTAAAGAAGCATGTCATGAGGAGAAAAATCAGACTTGGGAAAGCAAACGACATTTGGGAATGGGTGACTACAAGGTATGTGAAAGAATCTGAATGGTTCTTTTGGTTGCATGGAGTTCGGTGGTACAAGGGAGGCTGAACTTCTGACAAATATGATCAGTGAGAGGAAAGTTTGTGCAGTACTGTGGGAAGAAGAGGTTGAACAGGTTGGCCCTTTGGAGTCGGTGAATGATCCACAAGCAGATATAGTTTTACAGAAAGATGATGTGTTGATGGAAGTTTCGGCCAAGCACAAAGGGGAGGTGGAGATTGAAGGTGGATTTCAAGAGGGAGTAACAGGCGAGCTAGCGTTTAGTTATCAGGAAAGAATTGAATATTCTGGGAGGATAAAAGGGAAGGTGAAGTGGGAGATTGAAGGGTTGGAGAGGAAAGGGAGATTGGGACAGGCAGTGGTGTGAAGAATCGTCAGATGCAAATGTGTACAAGAGAAAGAGGAGGTACAGAACATTTCCATTTGGCACAGATGAGGAGAAAGAAATGGAAACGGAAGCTGAGTCTTTGAAAGAGGAAGGTGAAGTCATCTTAGATGAACCTCATGAAATTGGAAAGAAGATGAATATGGAGAAGGTGGTCAACAAAGGAATGGAAGTTAGTAAAATATTGGGTTTGTTTTTTCTTGGAGAGGATTTTGCCAGGGAAACTTTCAGGGAGGTGGAAGAAGGCTTTTACAGGGAAGTGAGGAAGAAACTAAGGTAAACTTTGATCGGGGGTTGTCACAAGCAATTTGGAAAAGAAAGAAACGTTGAGAGGCTCTAAAACTGAAGTGATTGCATGTGAAGATCCTAGAGAGGAGGCAACTCGAATCTTTGAAAAAAAATGCTATGTTGGAGTTAGAGAGATTAAATGTGTAATAAGGAGTAGGAGTTAGGAATGAGCTGCCTAATGCACTAATTAGATTTAGAAACAAGAAGCAATTTTGAACTGTTCAAGTTTCGACGGTTTTCAGCAGGTTGTAGTTGGGGCTGCTAGGGGGTGGTCCTAGAAAGAAAATTAAGAAACCCAGGAAACAGAATGTGTTTTGTTTTTTGACCAAGGGGAGGTTTAAGAGGCACCACAAGGGGTTTGGGTTTGGAAGTTCTAGTTGGGTGAAGGCTGGGGTTGGGGTGTTGTTTGATTCTTAAGTGAATTTAATTGGGTCCATGGTCAAATTGAGGTGGTTCGTGGCTGTGCATTTTCTTTAATATGAAGGGTTTTTCTATGTTTTGGGTGGGTTATTATTAATGATATTGATTGGTCTGGTTTTGTAAGTTTTTGGTGGTAGGCACAGTCAGGTGTTGGTAATATCTTCTTTATCTTTCTTAATAAAATTTCTTTTTTTATTTATCTTAAAAATAGGATGGTTTAGGTATGCTAAACCATCCTTCATGTACCAGAAATAGGGTTGGTTACGTAAAGAAGTCCGGTCCCTACTTGACCCAATTAGGAAACCTTTTTCATATACACACACATTGCATATTGTTAAATTTAGCATATATCTGTTTTGTGGAATGCATAAGTAGTGACTGGTTGACACATCTAAAGGAGAGACTGAAAGGCTAGTTATTGCATCACCAGATTTTTAACATGGCACAATTAAGATCATCTCTAATCGAAAATAAGCAGTGCGAGGAGCACTATCTTTAACTCAGTAAAAAGGATGTATCTGCACGGTCCCTTGTTTCCTTGGAGTTTCTGTAAATTCTTTTGTTGGTTTGGTTTTGGTTTCATTATCAAGATGCAGTCAGGCTTTTTCTTTCATAATCAATCAATTTTCCGTATTTTTTTTTGGTAGTAATCAATTTTCCGTATTGAAGCAGACACATGTGACTATCATTTCCAGGAGTGCTTTTGTTAAATGTCCAATGAATCTTGTGATTATTTTTTATTTTTTTGGTCACATCTGTAGTGCCTAGCAAATTCTATAAGCGGTAACATTTCTTCTTTGGTAACCTCTGTAGTGCTTACCGGGCCCTATATTTGGTCAACTGGGTTTATCGTTACTTCACAGAGAATCACCTGGTCCGGTGGATACGTAAGTTCTTCAGCCCACTATTAGCATTTTCTTGACCTTATCCCTCTTTGGCTTAACTGTATGCTTATAAGTGCTAACAATGGTTATTTACCTTATGCAAAATGCAGCTTGGTTATCAGGCTTGGTTCAGACGACTCTTTATGCTGACTTTTTCTACTACTATATAAAGAGGTATCTTTTCCTTTCTACCATTATAATAATTTCTAAAGATTGCATCCATACTTACAGTTTTTCCTTTTCTTCTTTTGTGTTCAGCTGGAAGAACAATGAGAAACTCCAGCTTCCTGCTTGAAGAGTAGCTTCTTCATTCAGATTTATTAACTTTACAATCCAGGCACAACAAAGGGGACTAGATTCCTATGGTCATTGTATCGTCTTTCATGGTAACTAAACAGATAGCACCATAGCACATACTAATCTTATCAGGGCCTTCATTTTCTTTGTGTGGGGCCTTTCTACAACAGATACATTTGATGTTTGTTGTAACCCTTTTTTTTTTTGGTAATCTATGTTTATTGTAACTAACTTTTGTTTCTTGCAACTAAAAATCAAACAAACAAGAAAGCGGAGCTAACAATCCCTTCAAGTATCACGAATTTTCAAAAGACAATGACTTGGATTTTTAGTGTATGGAAATAATGGCTCAATGGACTATCTCGATTAAGGAGGCTTCACATTGACAGGGTGGTTTTGTCAATTTTCATCAAATTCGAAATTTGTTTTTACACTACATTATAGCTCATGAATCTCGTCTGACAACAAAATTAATGGACTACGGGTGTGACTCATGTGAGGAGCTCTTTGTATCTCCCTAAATCCATATTTTTCATGGATTTGAGCAAGCTGAGCTAGGTTACCAAGAGCCCTTTTTTTGGGTAAAATACAAAAAAGCCTCCCCTGAAGTTTCTGATAATCATACAAACCTCCCCTATAATTTCATTTTAGCAAATACCTCCCTTGAACTTTTGAGAAACTTGACAAAAACCTCCCTTCTATCACCTTTCCATGCCAAAACATTAGACTGATGCACCGATTTTTTTCCAAAGGCCCATTTTACCCTTTTATAAATTATTTTACATACAAAATTATTGAAATAATCCTATTTTAATTTGACAAAAACCTCCTTTAATGGTCATTTTCTAATGTTTTTGTTGAGTTAAAGTAGGGTTATTTTAGTAATTTTATATGTAAAATAATTTATGAAAAGGTAGAATGGGTATTTGGAAAAAAATGGTGCATCAATTTAATGTTTTCGTTTGGGAAGGTGATGGAAGGGAGGTTTTTGTTGAATTTCTCAAAAATTCAAGGGAGGTATTTATTAAAATTAAATTATAGAGGAGGTTTTTATGATTGCCAAAAATTTCAGGGGAGGTTTTTGTATTTTACCCTTTGGGGTGGGGGCCTTTAGCTTTGTTTGAGGCATTGAGCTGCGTTTGGAAACAATGCAAATGGAGTGTAAACCACAGTTCAGGGTAAATTTGCACTTTGGTTCACTTTTGCCTGTGTTTGGCAACATTACATTTATGCATTAACGAATGACAGAAAACACATTTTCCAATGCATATTTACATTGATAATAAGATGTAAAAATACATCAATAAAAAAAGAAGTAATTTTGCATTCAAGTGGGCTACTGATAAAAAAAGGCATATTCACATTTTTCATACTTTTTTTAAGAAGATTCTACCATTGGGGTCTACTTGCATTTCTATCAGAAAGTTAAGGGGAGGTAATTGCAATTACTAAACTTTTGGGGATATTTCAACAATTTACCCTAGAATTTATTACTGTTTTTTCTTTGAAAGTGAGAACTTGCACCAATTTCATCATTAAATAAAAAGTTAGAGTGAATTACAAAGACCCCCTATATTATGGGGTTAGTGACAAATACCCCCTAAACATTCCTTTGCGACAAATGCCCCCTTAAACTTTTACTTTACGACAAATACCCCTGATCGTTAAGTAAAATGATAGAATGTGTTAAGTTACCAAAATACCTACCTAAACTTTCCTTGTTTTCTTTTTCTTGTCCTTTTCTCTTAAACCTTAATCAACCAAAAATACTTCCATTTTCTCCAAGTGAAACCATCTAAAATAACAAGAATCGTTTCATTGGCATAGAAAATAAAATTTATTTTTTTGTTTTTGATTCATTTCACTCACATGAATGTCTCTCTTCATCTTAAAATGTAAAAATTGTCCACTCATTTCTCCAATAATTCAAGAAAAAACAAACGAAACCATAAATATGTATCTATTAGAAAGAAACCTCTAACATTTCATATGAATATTGAGTCTAGCTAAAAGTCTGCAAGGATCTATTCAAGCAATCAAGAGGGCTTCAATGTTATATTTAAAAAACTAATCGAATCATAAATCATTCAAATAAAGAATGGTAGTTTGGGGTTTTAAATAAATTAAACATTTGAATGAGACTCTTTTTTGAAGTTAACTGATGGAACTCTAATGGAGGGAGTATTTGTTGCAAAGTGAAAGTTCAAGGGGGTCTTTGTTGTAAATGAAAGTTTAGGGGGCATTCGTCACTGACCCCATAGTGCAAGGGGGTCTTTATAATTTGCCCTAAAAGTTATATTCATATAGTTGAAGAAAAGTCTCTCAAATGCAATATTGGTTGATTAGGCTTCTATAAAAATAAGGTAGGCTTGTTTTACTATTTGGACAAGATAGGCTTAGAACTAGGGTTCAAAGTATAATTATATTTTCAAGTATGGAGCTTTATTACTTTTTCATGATGATATTTCATAGTTTCAAGGTTAGGGTCAGGGTCAGATAGGGGAGTTCACATTGGCTCCCCACAAAGTACATCACACAACACATCCCAACTGTGCATTGGGAGTATGGAAGATGTTCTCAATACATGGTTGGGATTTGCTATGGGGCGCACTCTGTGGGACACTGGCATTAGGAGTTGGGATCTCTTGCCAACAAAATGTGTTCCAACATCCTACCAACATAATCTAATACTACACATCTTACCATGAGATAAGGTCCCACTTTTATGAGATGTGAGGTATCAGATCAATTGTTCATTTTGGTTGCTGGATTTTTTTTACATTACATATATACATGTGCACATCTACCCATTACCCTAGACCTCCCAACTCGTACCCTCCCCAAAACTCATAACGGATTAGATTTTCAAATTCTAAACCTTCTTGCACATGAAAATGCAAAGGCCTCCCCAACCCTACTCTCCCTACATTTGAGGGTGAGGTGGGTCGCATTGGCTAGTTAGGTCTAGAAATGGCATCTGATATCTTATTATAAAGAAAATAAAATAGCATGAACAAACATAAAAATTTCTAATTATTTGATTAAACATGTAAAGAACGAATTGGAATTTGTTCCTCACAGGGCGTGCCTTGCATCGACCTCATAGCCACATCACACCCTGTATTTGAAACATCTCCCCATGAATAATAAATACAAGTGCGGGAGATGTTCCTGATGTGCGGCCAGGACATGTTGTGAGGTCAGTATGAGGTACACTTTGCGAGAAGTAGATACAAACTCATAAAAAACACATAAACTATCAATTATCCCTTACATAAAATTTAATTATTATTATATTCAACACCTAGCACATAAGTTCATACACCTTCCAACAATATGTAAGTAGAGAAGGGTCGGGATTAACCTAATACTAACACCCTATCCATACCCACAAGGCTATTGATGATGTGCAAAATTGCCTACTTCCCTGTTGGAGGACAGCTTGGAGTGTCCAGGGGTTTAGACTCAGGGTGAGCACTTTGATGCTTAAGTTAGTCGATCTAGTAAATCAAGAAAGCAAGAAAACAAGAAAACAAGAAAACAAGAGCTATGTTTATACTAAATTGTGCATACCTTGTAAAGGTGGGTCGAGTCCCTTTTATAGGAATCGAGGTCCGAATTCCGTGTCCTAGATATTCGAGGGCATCAGACATTATCGGCTCATTATCTTCGGGGTGCATCTTTCCCGTGTTGGTGGAGATCCTCATCCAACTCTCCAAGTTGTATAGAGACTGGGGTTATCCACACTATGTGGTCAATGTGCTACCAACTGACTTGGAATCGATAGGCGCGTTACTTTGGATAAGGTCAGCCTTCCACGCGAGTCGTCAGGTCAGTACCCCAGAGGCTAACGGCTGCCCGGGTTAGAGGAGTGTAGGTCAAAGGAACGCAGGTTGGCCTTTGAGGTCCTCTTACTCCTGAGGTGGAAAGTGTCGCCCTATTGTGAGTGTAGAGACTTATCTATGTCTCTTACATCTTCTTTCCTTTCATCGTCCCAGTGTGTTGGTCCTGTATCAAACAACCATCATGGGAAAAGGAAACAATGCTACCATCCTCAACTAGTTGACCGACTGAGATCAAATTAGTTGTAAGTTTAGGAACAAAGAAAGTTTTAGGTAGATGAAAACAAGAATTAACAGATGTAGTTAAGGACAATTCATTACAACCAACAATATCTAGTTTCTCTCCCTTAACAGTAATAATATGTTTATTCAAGGATTTGGGTTTAACGAACTGACTAGTGTGAGCCCCTGTCATATGGTTAGAGGCCCCGGAATCAATGATCCATAAGTGGCTAGGAGAGGAACAATAATAGGATGACTCACCCGAAAGACTGATGGCTGGAAATGTAGAGGAAATAGCTGAGGATACTAGCTGTTGCATTCTTTCTTCTGTAAGATTCCAAGAATTTTCATTCATTCTAGCTGAAGTTGTACTCCCTGTGTCTATACCTTCAGTGGTTGTTTGGAAAGCCTTGTGTTGATTCTTCTTAGAGCTTGAACCATTCCCCTTTGCTGGTTTGGTAGGACATTCAGGAATAATATGTCCATGCTGTTTGCAATAGGTGTAGAAAATTTTCTTCTGGCAGTGTGAAACAACATGTCTGTATTCCTTGCATTCATGGCATTGTAAATGAGACAAGTCCTTCTTGAACTTGGATTTATTCATCAGAAAGGTTGTCTCTATTCTTGAATTAGATTTCGACCTCAAGGTTGATTGAGTAATGAGTCTAGTTTCCTCCCTGAGAAACTCTGCCAAAACTGTGTCAAGTGTGGGAGGAGTGCCCCTACTGAAAGTGTTGGACCTTATAATTTCATATTAAGGTCTCAGATACATAAAAAAATGCATGATTTTCCTCCTATCAAAGTGTTCTTTTAGACTTTTTATGTATCAAGCAGAGGTGTTTTCACCCATGTGAACTAATTCATACTCCGTCCACAGGTTTACAAAACCAGCATAGTAGTCCTATATTTTCTTCTCACCCTGACACCCATGTGAACTAATTCATACTCCGTCCACAGGTTCACAAAACTAGCATAGTAGTCCTATATTTTCTTCTCACCCTGACTGTAAGAAAATATATCTGTCTCCGTCTGATACTAACATGAGATGTTGGACTGTTGATACACCTTTTCCATGTAGGTGAACATCTCACTAGTAGTTCAATAACTTCTCATTGGAATAGCAATCTTGGTTTCAATAGATCCGAGAAGCTAAGACACTACTTTGGCATTGTCGATCTTCTACTGTTTCAACCCCTTAGAATCAGACTCATCTGGTTGTCTTGTGGAACCACCCACAAACCCCCATAATCCATTTCCTTCAACATAGAACTGGAAATGGAATTTCCAAAAGGCATAATTTGTTCCATTGAACCTTACTGGTAGAATGTCTCTTCTCCATGGCCATTTCAGCAAAGTAAGCAAAGAAAAACTGAGAAAATAGAGCAGATGAAGGTTCAAGAAAGTCCAAAACTTGGTGGAATAAGTGGCCCAACCACACGCCACATAGAAGAATCAAAATCCAATAAAGAAACCAGTTACACAGAGATCTCAAACTAATAACAGTCCAAAAATGTAAGTTTTTTGGACTGTCGAACAAGAAGAGGGGCAGAATACTCTTCAAAAGGAATCCGAACAAAAAAATTATAGATCTATGTAGATCTAACCTGGGTGACTTCAAATCTGTAGTTTCATAGTGATTGGAGTAGCTGATTGAGAGAAAATGAAGAAACCCTATTTCTGATGGTGAGCTTCCAGAGAGATGTGTGTAGACCAGTACAACAACATACGAGATCCAAAACTGAAGAAGATGGGTTGATCTCACAGATCTAAAAGGATCTCAATCAAGGATAGGTTGAAAAACCTGCTCTGGTACCATGTCAACTCGGATCAAAACAGAGAAGAAAGAGTTGAGAGTGAAAAGGGTGTGTTCTGTCTTGAACATCACATCTAGAAAAGTTTAACTTATATATGAGATAATATAATGTTATGGAAAGGACAGTTATGTCCTTGTCTTACAAGAAATAATAAAATAAAAGATAGTGTACATAAGTTACAACATAAAAGGGTGGTCCCAAGGGCCAAAAAAGGAAAGAAGATGTAAGAGACATAGATCAGTCTCTACAGTGAGGTATCCGGTTAGTCTCCTTAGGTCGGGATATACATCCCACGTGGCACTGAGGTGTCATCAGATGGTTTAATGTGCCACATGTCGCTTTGTGATTAGCCTACCAAATCACCATCCATCAATTGCCCCTACTCCCGAGGTCGAGGTTAGCGAACTCAGAAATGGAGTAGTCTGATCCAGGCTGAATGCGGCTAGAGTTATGACATAGGATCTTCAACAGCCCACCGGTTCAAGGTTGGACTGATCTGGTTTATGTTGAACTGTCTAACAGGTCACGTCCTAGGCACGCACGGACATCACACAAAAATTAAGCCATGCGGACATAAAAAATGCACTTTGGTTTGTCGTCAGAATATAAACCATCATGGTCTCTTAGTCGTTGGATCACTTCAATCTCAATCGTTCGTAGGTTGAGTTCCCCACCTATAAATAGAGGCCCCTTAAGGGGTCCGTTTAGATCTGTTGAGAACTCAAGTAAAGTTGGAGCGCTTGCAACCTTGACCTGTTCGGTGTTCTCGTCCGGTTAGGTCCGTCTTAGTTGTCCTTCTCTTAGTTCGATGAGTCTTCTACMTCTCCTTTTTCTTTCTTTTATTTTTATCATGTCGGGTGGTTCATCTGAGGGAGAGGACCGGAGGGGCGGGTCCTCGGCACAAGAGTGGCGAGGTCCCTACAATGGGCTTTGTCTTACTTAAGTCAATTATCCTTGGGTCTTCATAGGATGGTTGAATTCAATGATCATTTAAGTGTAAATGTTGGACCTGTTTTGAGCCCATAGTGATGTGCTAAAGGGTTTACTACGTAGCAGTGAATTCGATCAGTCATTTTCATAGAGGCTGGGCCGAACCTATGTGGACTTACGTGAGGTCATTGTGGGGTCCCACATCATACAAATCAGGCCTAAGTTGGCCATGCAACACCCTTGGGTTGTGATCCATATAGTTGATGGGCCTAAAGCCCATAATTAATATGATTAATTAAGTTACCACATGACAGATTAAGTTGTTATGTGACGTGGGGTGAATTTGGGTATGGAGCACTCATCCTCTTAAGTGGATAGGGCTTATCTCTTAATAGAGTCCAGATCCAAATTAGATTTGGATAATCTCCTTATTTGATTAGGAGAAGTGCTCCATAAAGAGATAAAAGAAGAKGGCGAACTGATTAAGAACTCTCTCTATTCCGCTCTCTCTTCTTTTTTCTCCCAAGAAACCCTAATTTGACCACAACTATTTTGGGACTGATATAGATAAGTTTTCTTCGGATTTTTACAAGAAAAATTTAGAGAAATTTCGTGCTCACCTCTCTAGTTTGATCCAAGCAGTTGGATTGCAATTTTGTTGAAAACTGCATTGTTGAACTAGCTTCAAGAATACATTGTGCCATTTTTAGTGGAGGCTGGTTTTAGGACTGATTTGGGCATGAACTTCCACATTGAGATATGCATTTGTGGCATCCATATCAGGTATACATCTTCCTCTTTGGTTGGTTTCAAATCTAGTCTRATTCAGTCCAAGACCGATCCTGAAAAATGTTGTTTTTTGAAACATAGGGAATTTGATTCCCGAAAGGATTCGGAAATTTTTGAAATTTCGCCTAACCATCTAGCATGGTTCTACCATCCATATGATGGATCCCAACCCTTGGTCGGTGTTCGATCCCACCAAGCTCATAGGCGACAAAGTCCTTAACTTAGCTAACATCTATAGGATTCCAAATGAGTTTGACCTCATACTTCCTAGTGATGACCAGCTTCCTTAGAACCATAGGAAGAATGAGCTTTGTGTCTTTTAGGAGGCATTGGTGGCTAGGCTCAAGTTCTCCCTTCACTCGTTCATCCCCAAGGTTTTTCAATAAGGATGCAAATGGATCCGATGCAAAATCCGATCCTATTAGGTCGAATTCGGATCACCCCTATTTGAATATTTGGATTGGATTAGAATGGGTAATAAGATCCAACTAGAAATGAGATCGGATTTGGATCACCCTTATTTGATCCGAGAAGATCCGATCTGATATATGTTATATATTTATTTATACAAATATATATACAATACATATATATGTTATTTATTTATTTATATTATATTTTATAATTTTGTTATATTATTATTTTTATAAAAACATGTATATATATTATGAAAATAATTAAAAAATATTTGTATTTTTTGTTTTTTTCTTTATTTAAATTGGTATATTTTATTTTTCTTTTAATAATTTATTAATTTTTAAAGAAAACAAGCTGGATCATATTAGATCTGAAGATCCAACTTACCGATTGGATTCGAATTCAGATCGGGGCCTATTAAATCCGATTGGATTGGATCTTCCATGAACAATGTCAGATCGGATTCAAATATACCCTAATTTGAATTCAGTCTGATCTGTTTGCATCCCTAGTTCTTGACTATTACAGGGCCACCCTTGGTCAGCTCACCACAAATTCCATTAGGACCTTGGTTGGGACCATCTCCTTCTACCATCATTTTCGAATTCCCCTTGAACCTAGAAACCTTTTTGTGATCCTTGAGGAGGTCACCGAGCACAACAAGAAGTGTCCTACCGTCACCGGTAGTGTCATTCTACACCATCTCATGGCAGTAAGTACTTGAGCTCTTCCTCATGCAATGAGGTCATTTCCTTCGAGAGGTAACTAACTTGCTCACATTTTGGTCGGTGTTTTGCGCCAAATTCTCTATTTGGTGTTGTGTCGGCAACTACTAGTTTTGAGGTCGGTATATTGATCTGCAAAAGTGAGAGAGAACCAGAATGCTTGGGGGTTTAGACCCGAGGTGAGCACTCCAATGCTTTAGTCAATCGAGGATGTAGAGCAGGAGAGCAAGAAAACGAGAGCTATGTTTGTACTAAATTGTGCATACCTTGTAAAGGTGGGTCGAGTCCCTTTTATAGGCGTCAAGGTATGAATTTTGTGTCTGAGATATTCGGGGATGTCAGACCTTATCAACCCATTATCTTTGGGGTGCGTCTTTCCCATGTTAGCAGGGGTCCTCATCCAGTCTCTCCAAGTCGTAAGGAGAACGCCAAGTAGGCGACGTGCTACCACCTGACTCGGAACCGATAGGCGCGTTCCTCCGGATAAGGTCAGCCTGTCACTCATGTCACCAAGTCGGTACCTTGGAGGCTTGCTGTTGCTTGGGTCGTTGGCTGCCCATGTTGAAGGAACACATGTCAACCTTCGAGGTCCTTAGCTTTTACTCTCAAGGTGGAAAGTGCTGCCTTGATGCAGGGGTATCTAGTTATCTGGTTGGTCTCCCTATGTCAAGATATGCATCCCACATGGAAGGTATCATCAGACGATTTAGTGTACAACATATCTTTTCGTGACTGACCGGCCAAATCATCCTACATCAATTACAAAATTTGAAAGCCCATCCTCCTCGAAACCAAATTCAACCGGTGCAAGCCTCATTTGAACAATCTTTATAGCCTTGCATTGGGAATATCTCCCCATGAAATAAAGCATTGAAGTACGGAGATGTTCCCAATTCAAGGCTGCTCAAACGGAGTTTGCACCGACTGAAGTTGATCCCGTCCTCCCCCAAAATTCATATTTCAAGAAAAGAACTCCCCTATACAGCTAGTGCAGAAATTGCCATCCCAAATGAGTCTGGATCTCCTACCCACACAAACTTTGCCCCACATAACATCACAGCCACACATGGAGAACTTTTCATCCTTCGACATAGTATTACGCAGGGGGAAATGTTCCCAATTCACGGGGGTAGTGTGTTGTGGATAGACGTGGCAGAGTTCTCCTGGGCAGTGATCCGGATTCCGGAGTCATCCCACTCATCCTTTGCATGAATGACAAAATCATGAATTAGAGAACAACCGAAAGCGAAGTGCGGTTGGTGTGGAACGCGCTCTGGTGAGCAAATGGGATCTCCATTCTAAGTCGAGTCGGAACGGGATCAGCATAGCGCCTCACAGACACATCCCGTGAATAATAACAAATAAGCACGGGATATGTTCCGTGAATAATAACAAATAAGCACGGGATAATGTGTGTATGAGGCGCTCACTGGCGCCAGGTGTCAGGAGCAGATCCGGTCTCAGTCGAGTCGTCTTTAGTTTAGATCCCAATATCGCATATAATCTCCCTACACACGGCCCATATATTGATGACGTGAACTGTTTTAATTGATCCAATTCTTCTATTAACAATTCTATGACTATGATACCTGAAATTCATTATACCGAAAAGAACTTGTAACCAATCAACCGGTATCAATGAAAGTGCCAACCAATCGTGTGGTTCTTTATCAAAATCAAATTCAGCAGGGGAGGGGGTGATGGTCGAGAGTCGACAGGTCGAGGCCCTTTTTCCAGTATCATGTGTTTCCGGCAGCGTAGATTTTTCCATTATTCGATGATGATTTACTTACTTTGACGAGTTTGTCACTTTGTCCTCGTTTATCAGAGTCTGAATTTCTTCCACACACACACACACACACAAAAAAAAAAAAAGAGTCTGAATTTCGGTGGCTGGATTTTTTTTACATTACGTTTCCAATTTTTGATTGGGGAAGAAGGACTTGTGCCGTTGCGCGGAGGCTCCGAGTGACGTTGATTGGTCTTTGGTTTTCATTTTCTGGTTTCTGTTTTTCCAATTGTCAGAATCTTTCTTCTGTGAAGTTTGTAGAGTGTAGCTCTGTAGGCAAGAAGCTATGTGGTTGTTTAGCAGGAAAGGACCTTCTGGGTTCTCATATAATTCAAATGCAGAGGAAGTAACACAAGGAATTAATGGTACTGGCCTCAGTGCCATTGTTACAGGTAACTTCGATCTGGGTTTAATTTTCTTGTGCTTTATGGTATATTGCTTCTCTCTCCATTTGTTGATCTTGGTATTGAAATTGGAAAAGAATATATTATATATTTCTTTTTTTTTTCTTGGCGCTAATTGCCGTTCTTTCAGATGAACTCAGTAGGGGTTTCTGTTTTTGGTTGCTGGGATTTTTTCTTGCATTTTAAATACATCGACGAACTAATTGCCACTTTTCTGACGTTCTAAATCTAAACAAAATTGAAAATTTGTGCTATTCTGTAAGTGGATTTTCGTGAAATTCTATTTTTAGTCACTGGGTTTGGTATCACTTTAGCTAAATCCTTATCGATCCTATATGCTTGTTATGTTAGTTCATGTAACTACTACTCCTTGGATAGATTCAAAACCCCCAACTTGATGGAATAACACACACGCACGATGATGTTCCAGTAGTTTGTTACCTGTTTGAGTTTACTTCTAATAGGGTTCATTTCTAATGGTAGAGTACAGAAACACTTGTAACAAACACTGGTATTACAGTGCAAATTATTTATTCCTGTTATGGTCTGATATCCTTGGAGTTAGCTCAGTCATTTTCCTCAATTTTCTGGTGTGATTGTAGATGCTTGAGCTGATGGGAGTTGTTGCAGCTAAACTATGAACGAATTCAATATTTGACTAAAAGAAACCGATAAAAAGAAAGTGTTGAATGTATATAACAATCAATGACTGTTCAATAGGGCTTAATCTGGTGTTTGTGTCTGCTGTAATTTCTCTACACTTTGTTTGTAATCAGTAACAAAAAGCATTATATGTACCGTTGACAGAAATTTTCTTTCTTCTACTTCATACTGAACTATTAAGAGTTTTACAGATGGAAATGAGGGATAGATTCTTCACATTGTACCTGCTAGAAAAACTGGTTTGTTACAAGTTGAAGGGGCTAGAAGAGAGAGCTAGGGGCAGACCAAAGAAGGACTTGGGAGAAAGTAATAAGAAATGATTTTAAGTGCCCATAATTTAACAATGGATATGATACTGACCAGAATGGAATGGTGAAACAGGATTCATGTAGCTGGCCCCATATAATTGGGACGGGGGTTAGATGATGATGATGAATACTGTCTAAAGACCAAAACCAAATAAAACTTTCTTTCTTTCTATCATTTTTTTTTCACAATATACCTATGTGTGCTGTTTCTTATTTCTAGCTACTCAATGAATTTATTGGTATGTGAGAGTAATCACTTTTTCAAGGATTATTTACTAGGAGAGATAAGTGAAGTTTCAAGAATTGTATGTGAACTGTTTAAAAGCATCTGGATTTTTTAGCAATAGTTGTGACGATTTCCTTCTAGTAATTGCAAATTCCATGGGATTTAGTTCATGGTCTCTTCTTCCTTTTTTTAATCCAAGGTCTATTGTGGAGATCCTTTAAATCCTATCCTCTTATGTGGAGTCATATTTACTTAAGAGAAGGTCCAATGTTGCCGAGGCTTCACATATCTTTTATGATTTCCATGTCACTTGTCATCAGGGAGTTGAATGAGATTTTGCATGACTTGACCTGGAATGACAAATGAGTCTGCCAATTAAGACCCAGCTACTTTCAGATTCCATTTGAGGAACTCCTATATCTTCTTCCAACATTATTAAATAAATAATTTTTAAAAGCTATTTTGTTGCTTACATAATGACTATTGCAAGGTGTATATGAATATCTGTCTTTTTTCCTGAAGAAGGTAAAGTATTGAATTGCATTAATGGAAAAGCCAATTACATCAACCTATGTACAATGAGATCCTGCACAATGGGAATATACAAAAAGAACTGACTAATCACTCAAAAAAAGGCCCAGATTGCAAAAAAGAAATAAGCTGGATACCCTGAAAAGCTCTTTGTGTACACCCAACCAAGAGCATAAACAACCTATAAGGTTGTTCTTAACTGAGTTGTAAAAAATGCGACTATTTCTTTCTTTCCAAAGAGACCAAAAGATAGTAGCCGGAAAGGTCCTCCATAGCATTTTGCCCCTTTTGTTCAAACCCTTGACTTCCCACCCCTGCAGAAGCTGAAGAACTGATTCAGATGGGCAAAAATGAACACCAAAACAGGACTAAGCCATTGCGCACAACTGATAAGAAAAGCTACAGTGGATGAAAAGGTGATTGGAAGACTCAGGAATCTCATTGCATAAAGGACATAAGATACTAGGAATATGCATCCCCCTTCTTAGCAGCTGGTCTGGAGTTAAGCATTTTCCATGAGCTGCAGTCCAAACCAGGAAGGCTATTTTTGACAGGATGTGGGAGGACCAGATTAAAGCCCAAGGAAAATCAAGGTCTTCTCTAGCTGAGAGGTTGCTGTAGAAAGATTGAGTAGAAAAGGAACCTGAGTTCTCCCAATACCAAAACCTTTTATCATCAGCTTGAAGATTAGGATTTATACTTTGAATGAGGCTTAACAATTCAGTCATACTCAGATACCGTGAATATCATCAGACCAAAAATTAACAGATACTTTGAATATCTGTTAATTTTTACTTATTCATGTCCTACTCAGATAAACACTACATGATGAATTTTTATATGGTTTTGTTGTTTTAAAGAGCAGAAGTCTGTCTCTATCAAAATGGTGGGAATGCCCATTATTTACTTTGTTTTAGTTGTCTTAGGTTAATTCTAATCTGCATGAATGATTTGAATCTGTTCTCGACAATTTTGTGACTTGTGTTTGAGAGCATTATGTTCATACTTATCAAAAGAATTATTCCTCAGGAGCATCAAGTGGTATTGGCACTGAGACCACACGTGTTCTGGCACTACGTGGAGTACGTGTAGTTATGGCTGTCAGGAATGTGGATGCCGGTATGGATGTCAAAGAAACAATCCTTAAGGAAATTCCTGATGCTAAAATTGATGTTATGGAGTTAGATCTCAGCTCACTGGCATCAGTAAGGAAATTTGCATCAGAGTTCAATTCCTCAGGACTTCCATTGAACATCCTCATGTAAGAAATGGATGCTATGCTTTTAACATTCTTTTATCCGTGCATTTAAGAAGTGAAGTTACATTGATATTGATTTGATTCTGATTGTTGTGAAGACCTTGTAAACCTTCTTAACTCATAGATTTGGTGAAGAGCAATGTAATTTTCTTTCTCCTCTTCTGGAAGTAACAATGCAGGTGTTATGGCAACCCCATTCAAGCTTTCCAAAGACAACATAGAACTACAGTTTGCAACAAATCACTTGGGTATGCTACCAATATCTAGATGAATTGTCCATCATTAGATGATCTATGTAAACGTGTTTGTGAGTCCAACAAACATCTTCATGGGAGTGGCAACTTTGAGCTGTCGAAATTTTTGTTTTTTATTATTATTTTGGAACTCCAACAACCAACCTGCAATTTTTTCCAATCCTTGGAAGATTCCATTATACTGTTCTGTTGTCATATTGAAGGAGGTCAAAAATACTAGATACTAGATAGCATGAGTAGTTTTACTTCACCATCTGTCAACATGGCTTGATGGATTGTCAGTATTCAAAAATGAAAAAAGAGAAAAAGAAAAGGGAAAAAAATCTTCATGATTCAAATGAAGCACAATTTGTTGATTAGGTAATATACTTATATGTGCTATATTCTGTATGCCTTTCACTTCATGCATCAAAGAATGATGTAGAGTTTCTGTTGTTTTGCAGGTCATTTTCTCTTGACAGATCTCTTGTTGGCAACCATGAAGATTACTGCACGTGACAGTAAAAAGGAAGGGAGGATTGTCAATGTTTCATCAGAGGCTCACAGGTTTCCATATCGTGAAGGAATTCGTTTTGATAAAATCAATGATGAATCAGGGTAAAGTTTTCAATATCATTCATGATTGCATTGCTCTATAACTAGGAAAAGTTAATATTATGATTTCTGGGATAGAAGATCTGCAAATTAATAGCAATTTCTTTTTTGGGGTCAGCACCCCTTTGTCATGGGATGCTTTGCATATTGTACTCACCTTTTAATTTTTGAATGCAAGTAACCATTTCCAGTAAAAAAATCAGCACTAGTTATGCTTGTTTTCTTTTGATGATTTTTGTGATCTTAGGATGTGTATGGATCGGAGCAGAATTTGAAATGGGGCAGAATATGGATTGTGAATGCAAGTAACCATTTCCAGTAAAAAAATCAGCAGTAGTTATGCTTGTTTTCTTTTGGTGATTTTTGTGATCTTAGGATGTGTATGGATCAGATCAGAATTTGAAATGGGGCAGAATATGGATTGTGAATTCCACAGATCTCTGGATCCCTGAAACTAGGTCCATTTAGCAGTGGACCAGGATTTGGCAAAACATGGAACTTAATCTTCAAATTCCATGTTTTAGCAGTGTGCATAATCTGGGGTAGTCATTTCTATTCCATGGAATCAAGGCAGGAATAGGATCCAAACACATGGTCTAAATAGAATCTTAATGAATTTTAAAATCTAGTAGGGGTACGTGGCAGAAGCGTAGTTACATCTTTATCATCCTTCTAAAGGAAAAAAATTAACCTGTTGGTTTTGTTGTTTTAATAAATAAAAAAAAAGTGACACAAGTTGCAATTGCTTGATCTAATTGTTGGATTCATTGTTCCTGTCCATAATCATGGGACATAGGTGCTCCTGTTCACTTCTAGTGGTTTTTAGTGTTATTCTCTATTAATTTTCCTTTTTCTCTAATGGTATTGCTGTGTATTTTATGTTCATCAAATAGAGAATAATTCCTAGTTATTTGTCTTTCAACTTGTTAATCTGCAGGTACACAAGTTTCTTTGCTTATGGCCAATCAAAGCTTGCTAATGTATTGCATGCAAATGAACTTTCTAGACGTCTAAAGGTATAAAATCTATTTGCTAATAACAAGCAATTTCTTGACATAGTAAAAGATAATTGGTCAATGGCATTCTTTACCTGCTTACAAGAGTTCTAAGATGATTATATTATCTTGATGTGTAAGAAATTGCTTCAATACAGATTTAGAACTGCATTGCAACATTTATCCTTTTCTTTTTCATAAGGATTTTTTATTAAGAGAAAAAAAAAGAGAGCAAAAAAAGGGCTCCATTACACTTGAGCCAATAACCACAACACCCCTTATGCGAACCCAATGCAAAGCATGGGATATACATCAGAAAGATTGTGAGTAATAAAAGTAGGATATGTACTCAACTTCTGACTAGGAGTTTCCCATGATATCACAAGAAGGCGATCCACTCCCCCCTTTCTTATTCACACTCGTGGCTGATGTCTTTAGCAGGTTGATAACAAAAGCCAATAGGATTGAGGCAATAAGTGGTTGGAGGATAGGTAGAAATGGTGTGTCAGTGATCCACTTGCCGTTTGCTAACGATATCATTATTTTTTTGGTAAGGAAGTGACATTGAAGGTGAGAAACCTCAAAGATTTAATTGTCTATTTTCAAAACATTTCTAATTCGAAGATTAAGTCGGATAAAAGTTGTGTGGTGGGTCTCATATCAACTCTGTTGCAAGTTGCCTAGGTTGTTCCATTTCTTACTGGTTGCTAAAGCACTTAGATCTTCCCTAAGGAGCCAGCCCAAGGGAGAGTAGGTTTTGGGATCCAATGGTTGAAAATTTTGAAAGGAGATTGGCATCGTGGAAAAAATAATTACATTTCCATAGGGGGTAGGGTTACCTTGATCAAAGCCACCTTAGCCAATCTACTTGTTTACTACCTATCGGTTTTTAGAACTCCATCTAGGGAGGCCAAGAATCTAGAGAAACTTATGAGGGATTTTTTGTGGGAACTAGGGGAGGAAAAAAAAGGACCATCTAGTCAACGGGGAGATAGTGTGTCAAAGTAAGGAAGAAGGTGGTTTGGGTTTAGGGAATTTACGGATTAGGAACTCTACATTGTTGGGGAAGTGGGTATGGAGATGGCCTTTAGAGAGAGACAAGTTGTGGCATGAGGTAGTTGCAAGTATTCATGAAGTCTTGGGAATTGGTTGGGATGCTAGCGTCTCTCGTCATGCTACTATGGCTACACCCTGGAAAGCAATTCGCAGTATCCTTCCTCTTTTTCTTAACTTTGTGAGGTATAACGTTTGTACTGGTGACTCTGTACTTTTTTGGAATGATATTTGGGTGGGTAATCAGTCTCTAGAGGATCTCTTCCCATCTCTTTACTCCATTTCTTTGATTAGGAAMGAGGTTGTTTCCAACTTGCTCTCCTCACCTATTCTTCCTTTGTCACTGACTTGGGATTTTGGCTTCAGGAGGGGGTTGAGGGATGCTGAGGCTTCTTGTGTTTCTGAATTTCTGCTTCTTCTTGATAGTGTTTGTCTGGACCCTTCCAAGCCCGATAGAAGGCTTTGGTTACCTATCCCAAAAGGTACCTTTTCTTGTGCGTCCTTTTTCAAGGCCCTTTGTTCCCACCCTATTCCTAGGGTGTTCCCAGATAAGGAACTTTGGTTTAAGCCGGTGCCACCCAAAATTGCTATTTTTTGTTGGGAAGTGTTTCATTGAAAGATTAACACTTTGGACAACCTGCAAAAGAAAAGACCTTTCTTGTTCTGTCCCCTAACTGGTGCTTTTTGTGCAATGTTAGCGGGGAGACTTGCTCTCACTTGTTTCAATCTTGTCCTTTGGTTGTAGCTATTTGGAGTTGGATTTTCTCTTTGTTGGGTGCAGGTGGAACCTACTGGCAGATGTAAACTTACTTTTTGATCCAGCTCTATTTGTTTGGCCCACAAAGAGGGGGAGAATTATGTGGAAGAGTGTTAGAGCAGCCACCTTTTGGACAATTTGGGAAGAAAGGAATAGCAGAATCTTCTGTGAGAAAGAAAGAAGTCTCTTAGAACTAAAGGAGTGCATTTTAACAAGGGCAATACATTGGTTGGGAACCCTTAACTCACTTCACTCTTATACATTTGATGATCTATGAGGAAACTGGTTGGTAGTGGCTAATAGCTCCACAAGGAGCACTAGAAGTATTTCAGATTGGTCTCCACATGTGGATGGGTTCATAAAATTGAACCTTGATGGAAGCAGTCAAGGAAATCCAGGGTGCTCAGGTGTGGGTGGGGTCTTGAGGTATGAGGCAGGCAGCTTATTAACCCTTTCTCAGGCCCAGTGGGATCAAGAGGCTCTACAAGAGCTAAACTACTAGCTTCTGGTACAAGAAATTCAGATTGCAAGTCAACTGGGTGTCAACAGATTATGTATTGAAGGAAACTCTAAAGTGGTGGTAGGGTGGTTACAGGATCTAGATTCTGCTATTTGGAAATATGGGGATTTATTAAGGAGAATTAAGTGGCAAACAAGAAATATGACAATCAGAATACAATGGGTGAGCAGGTCAGCCAATGCTATGGCTGATGTCTTGGCTAAACAAGAGGCTGTAAGCGAGTTTCTTTTTGTGGCTGAGTTGTAATACCTAATTTTTTAGTTCAATTTTCAGTTTTTAGGCTCAAGGGTGTGGCTGCATCWCGTGCCCCCCAAAGGGGGCTTGTACCTGCTTTAATCTCTTGTCAATAAAATCTATTCATGTATCGAAAAAAAAAATAAAAGAAAAGAAAAGAAAATCTTCAATGAACATCACCCAGGGTCCTAGCCCACAAAGACCATCTGTACATGAAAGATCAGCAAGTTCAAAGTGCATTGGTGCATGCACTGCTATGAAGGTAGTCGAGCCCCAAAATCAACAGCAAAAGAAAACAACACATCTTTATTCAAAGTTGTCAAGGTGTCTAAGTGATTTGGGGTTATAGTGACTAGTGGGATGCCTAGTTACCTAGTTCCCTAAGCATTAAGCAATAAGAAATATAAAATAAAAACTAAAATTTCGCTAGTTCCCTAGTTTTATATACAAATCAGCATTCACATTAATTGAAAAAAGTAACAATTCTCTTTATTATTAAGAACATTAAATCTCCTCTCGAAACATTGCAAATCATTATATCTAAAAGTTATCAATTCAATACTTCACTTATAAAAAAATCAATATTTTCAAAATAATACTAATATAATAGGCAATAGAGCAATTTCATATCAAATTAGCAACTAAAGAAGGCTATAATTTTATATGATAAAAATTTAAGATAGAGATTAAGTAAAAGAGAAAAAGAACAAGTTTGAAGCTGCTATTTTATTTAATATAATAGAATAGAAAAAAACAAAAGAAAAAGAAACCTGTTTATTTTTCTTTCTTTCTTTCTTTTCTCTCCTCAAAACCTTTGAGTCTTTTAAGTTCAACAGTATAACTTCAAAACATATGAGTGATATATTATTATATAATTGAATGTATTAACAAATATATTAATAGGATGCACCCATATTAATGATATCATAATAAGGAGTTTGTCTTATTATCTTTGTTGCCTAGGTGGGCAACTTGTTGCTTTAAGTCAAGGCATTCAGGTAAGGTGCGTAACCATGGAAACCTAGTCAAGTAGGTGTGTATGAACCCTTTTTATCTCTCATTTTTCTTGTCAAATGATGATATCACCTCTAGATGGAGGTCATGACAGATGATAAAAAAAGACAAAGAGGTAGGAAACTGATCTGAACAAAATGGAGTGGCAAAACAGGGTTCATGTAATATATAGTTGGGACAAGGCTTAGATGATGATGATGATGATGAGCATATACAAGGTGACAAGGTGAAGCTAAGCAACAGGAGAGTGTGTAGACACTGGAGTTGGAAACAAAATGTGAATCCTGGGTTAATTCCCTAGGCTTTATAGCAAGAAGTCCTTCCTTATAGATTGAGATTTTCAGGTCTTTAAGAGTTCAAGGTGGCATCCATCAACTTGTTTGTTGATCTAACCTTAACAAGTAAGAAAATAATAGAAATAAACTAGTATTTGAAAATATTATAAACCCACAAACTGAATAATTTAGTGTAACAATGTTTATAATATTATAGATTCATAAAATGAAAATATAAAAATATTATAAAGCACCTTGTATAAAAACAACCAGGCTTTTGGGCAAGGTGACCCAGTATGGGCACTCAGTTGTGGAAGATGATCTATCAAATGACACCCTGAAAAATAAGCTTAAAGAAAAATGGTGTCATTGTATCTTAAACTTAAAGTTATAAAAGGTCTTAATAAAACTCTTTAGACTATGTTTACCCATTTAGATGATTGACCAAAATCTTAGTCATCCAAAAAATTATGAACTTGGCATTGGATAAAGAATCATGAGGACTGATCAAAAATAAAAAATCATGAGGAAACTGATTTATTTCTCCATGGATTCTTTCCTTGTTTTCATGTCTGCATCACCATATTTAATCCCTTATACCTCCTTTGTCTTTCTCTGTACACACCTTATCCCACCTCAGCAGGTGGAATTTCTTTCTCTCTTCTGGATTGTCTCACAAGAAGTCCCTTATTTTCAGGGACATTATCTACAAAATCTGGTATAGAGAAAAGTGATAAGCAATTGATAGGTAGTTTAGGTAGAGCTTTCTTCTTCAGTGTTATTTTATAATAGTTATTCTTGAGACTGCTATGGTGTTTTTGTTATTTATTTACCTTTTATCTATAATCGGATTATCCCTCAAGTTGATTTTGTTTCACTTGGTATGCAAATATAACAAGGGAACAATCAACAAGATTATCCAAGTACCCTCTTATCCTCTACATTGTACTGTAGCAAAAACTAAAATTTCTTTTTTTTTTTTTGAATTTAGTTTCAGACAGCAATTATCCTGATATAGTATAGCTAGTCTGCTTCTTAAGATGTGACTGGGATCTGAAGTTCCATATAAGAATTTGAAACCATAGGTAAGTTTATTGTGAAGTATGCCTTATAGTGAGTAAATGGTAAGCCTTGAATATTGAAACAGAGGGAACAGTCCTGAAAAACCATGGACTTTTTTATTATCTATATATGGACAAGTGATCTGTTACAAGTTGAGGGGCTGAAAGAACTAGGGGGCAGACTGAAAAGGACTTGGGTGGAAGTAGTAAGAAATTATTTAAGTGCCCATAATTTGATGATGGATATGGCACTGAACAGAACAGAATGGTGAAACAGGATTCATGTAGCCGACCCTATAACAAGGCTTAGATGATGATATGGAGAGTGTACACAAACTAGACCAAGTGAAGTCTTATCCTAACTGTATATGTTCAGCTATACCAAATCTCATTTCATGACTTGACTCTGTTATATCCTCCGTCAAATAGTGAGTCCTTGGATCTTTTCTTACAACCTCTTCTCAGGAGACCTATCGTTTTTCTCTTTTCATTTTCAGTAAGACATACAGAATCTTGTGTATTGCATGCATTACATGGTTTCACAGCACCCTTAACATGTTTTGACTACACTTGATGTCTCATAAACATTATTAATTTGTTGGAAGTTTGCTTATTATCATGCAAATTAGAGTCATAGTTATCAAGGTGTCTAGACAATTCTAAGTGACAGTGGGGTGCCTAGTCACCTAGGCGATAGGCATTTCATAAAATAAAAACTAAGTTTTTCGTGGTTTTCTAGTTTTATATACAAAGCATGCATATTAATCGTAAAATTAGCAATTTTCTTTATTAATAACATTATCTTAGATATCATCTCAAAACATGATATCTAAGATAATAGTATTTCAATTATATTCATTTCAATACTTTCAAAAGTGATACTAATCAATTGTACCGGGCTTTATTGTAATCTAGCTTGTGTAATTGGGGGGGTACATCCTGTAATCAATTGTACTAATCTTCTTATAATCATTTTAATAAAATAACTTTTTGCTGATAAAAATGAAACTAATATAATATGTATGTATTAAATAGAGCAATTTCATATCAAATTAGCAAGCAAAGAAGGTTATATTTTATATGATAAAATTTAAGATGGAGAGCAAGTAAAAAGAGAAAAAGAACAAGGGTGGAGAGAAGACTTCTTTATATTTCTTTTATTTTTTATTTTTCTCTTCTCAAAACTTTTGGATCTTTTAAATATCAATAGAAAAATTTTAAAACAAAGTATAAATGATGTATATAGTGTTATTATATGATAGAATGTAGTAACAAACATACTAGTAAGATGTAGCAATATAAATGATTTTGTAATAAGGCACCCACCTTGTCATTTTAGTTGCCTAGTGGACGCCTAAGTGATGCCTTGACAACTATGTTTAAAGTTGTTTCTGTAAATCTGTAATCCATTCCTGAAGGATATTTACTGATGTCTATCAAATTCTCTTAGCTTTTCTTTTACTTCTCAGCCATGATTTAATGAAATTAATTTGATATGAAACCAGTATGGTGCCTATACACTCCTATGAATCATGGTTGTCAATTTTGTTTATTTTGTAGTAGTCTTTACCATGTTAAGCAGAAATGTCCTTTATTTTTGTGCTTTGCCCTTTCGTTTGATCAGGAAGAAGGGGTGGACATAACAGCTAATTCACTTCATCCAGGATCTATTGTAACCAATCTTCTGCGTTATCACAGCTTTGTAAATGGTAAATCACTCAAGTTTTTCACTTTCCAATGTATTTTCAATATTCTCAAAGATATGCTTAGCAATTCACTTCCATAGATAATCTTGCATTGTTTTGGTTGAATCCTATTTAAAAAAGACAATGTCATCATTAGCAATACACACTACCAGATATCATTACTAAATCCTTATTTTATCAGTATTAGATCTTAGGTTGCAATGTATCATAGTGAGATATGGTCATATGTACCTTTATCTTTCTCCATCAGAGGGGATCATCATCAGGTTCAGTCCCCTTCATCTCTTGGAGCGAGCAAGCTTAATTTTGATGAGTGCTCGTCGGGCAATCTGCAACCATGGGCAGCAGGAGTTTTCAAGATCCATGAAGGAGAAATTCTAGAAGTGTATTCTTACCTAGTGAGTTTTGGTTGTTTGGTGGAAGATTCACAGGCCCCTATGAACAATGTATTTGGGAAATAGGATCAATAAAACCTAAGGAAATGATCAACAAATGATCTAGAAGATCCTCAGCTGGGAATGGCATAGGGAGGATGTAGGGACATGAACTTTACATTGGAATTGACCCATCTGAAATAACTTAGCATTGGGGTGTATGGGGGCCTGTGATAGGCAGCCCAGGGGGTAATGCGATTTTTTTTCTACATTTTTCAGTTGATTGTACTGGTGCTTTTCTAATGGTTATAATAAAAAATCTTTGAGCTGGTTACTAATAAAACAATAGCTGCGTATGTGGTTCAGAGGCTCTAATGTTTATTTTATGCTTCAGATGTTTTAGTTCCCCCCACCCCCAGCCCCATTTACTTCCCTTTAATTAAGCAGTGGTTTAGATTCTCTAATAGTCAACTCTCTGTTTTTTTCTCTGTTGCTTCTTTAATGCAGGTCTTGTGCAGAAGTTTGGCAAATATGTGCTTAAAGATGTTCCTCAGGTATGTTTTTTTAAAACTGTTATCTGAATCCGTACATCAGAACCTCTTAAAGAAAAGTTCAACTTATATACTCAAATCCTCCCCCAGTGCAACAAGGTTTGGCTTCAACCATTTGCTTGAAATGCCAGGTCTGGAAATGCTATATGCCTCTGTTGGTCTCACCCTAAACCCAATAGAACATGTGAAACTTTCAATCCTGCCCCATGGTAAGCCCCCTTGTACCAACTGGATGACCATAAGGAAGACCATTTTCAGCTATCCATTATTGGAGAAAGGGGGGGGGAGGTGGCAGTTCGTAACCCTTCAGAGGGAATTTAATGTTCTGTCATGGTCATTTCTTGTGAATTTTTGTTTAAATGATTTCTGTTCTGCAAGACTTTATATTTCCTTATTCAAGGCTGGGCACCCTCACTGAAAGTCTTAAGAATTCTCTACCACTTGTCCAAGTGTGAAAAACTTTTCTATATTCCTGCTATGGTACTGAAAAGGTGTGGGATTCACAACCAGACTCATTCAAATTCATGTGAAATTTTGGTTTAAGTATTCTAGGTACGGTATCTTTTTGGTACCATAGAAATTGCCAATAGATTCCTATTGGTGAGGCTCCCATACTGGGCTTAGATGAGCTCAAGTCCAACCTAGTCAAAATACTAAGGTTTAATTGGGTTTAGGCAATTTCAACCATAGTGGCCTAATCCAAACCCAGCTCAAATGAGGTGGACCATGTATTAGGTTGTGCTCAAGTTGGTTTGATTGGCAATATCTTGAATTAGAATTTCATATATGGACACATGCTCATATTCCCACTGAATTTGGGTTCAGACAGGCTTGTTTTTACTTGGGGCCTAACCCAGGTCTGGAAGACCATTGTTCTAACATAATGCACCTCATATATGCGTGCATAGCTATTAACCATCATTCAAGAACAAGTGAATGATAATTAACAAATGAACRTGTTAACTATCATTCATTTATTCTTGATTCTATGCACTTGTTTTCTCGAGGCTCCAATTGCAATGTATACCTACCAAGAGCCCCATGCAGGATTGGAGCCTGTGCTTATGCATTTTACTGGACTTTATTGCAGGGGGCAGCAACGACATGCTATGTGGCATTGCATCCACAGGTCACAGGTGTAAGTGGCGAGTATTTTAGTGACAGTAACATAGCCAAACCAAGTAGACAGGCTAAAGATGTGGAGTTGGCACAGAAACTATGGGATTTTAGCCAGAATCTTGTCAATTGATGACATTGGAGCCATGAAGAGTATGAAAACGTAAGAAAAATGTTGTACAACATATTAGATGTTGGGATGAATTCCCATTGTTTTACATGTTAATGTTAATTGCTTCTTGCCTCATTAGGGGCGATGATGAGGATGACAATCTGACAAATTTATTGGCTGATGTTCCTCAACTCTAATCCTGTTGGCATCAAGTCAGTGTTTTGTATCTCTCTCCTACTATCCAACCAGATAAGGATTGATTATGGGTGAGCCCGTCTTGTGTTAGACTGTTTGTCATTGAGATTGGACTGCAATAGCTAATGAATCTAGCTGGTTCAACATTGTGTTGATGATCTCTTTACTTTCCTCAGTTCTCTGCCTAACTATCTGCCATGCTTGTGCTTATTGCCCATTCCCACTGTTATTCATGGGACATGTCAACCTAGTGCTAGGTCAAGTAGAACGGGCAGGATTCAGGTTGCACCAAGGTGTTTGCATCAATGTTTTTGAACCACCGTTGACCCGGACGGTCAGATCATTCGGCCTGGGAACCATCTAGGCAACTGGTTCAATTTTACCCCAAACCCGGTCCTTGGCAAAAATCGTTGAATTGGCCAACGATTTGTTGACCTAAGCGGTCAAACCGTCGACGCGCTCGACCCATTCAATGATATTTTGCTGTTTTTTATTTTAATTGTTTTTTAATTTTTAAATTTTGCCAGAATGGGTTGCCCATTCAAACCGAACAGTCAAACTGTTGACCCGAAAACCAGTGGTCAAAACGGCTCCGGTTCTGGATCGGTTTTTAAAACATTGGTTTGCATCCCCAAGTCGATGTAGCAAATAAGTTCCTCTGATGTCTGGAGGCCAATCTAAACATTGTTTCCCTGTGAGCTTAACCGAAAGATAATCCTATTTGCTTAACAAATAAAATAGGGCAGAACAGGATAGAACAAGCAAGGCAAGGAAAGTGTATGGTGTTAGACAGTTTTGTATGCCCTTATCTTCAATCAGAATGATGTACTTTATGGGTTTATTGTAAATGAATAAAAGTGCATATTTGATTCATGTTCCCTTGGTATGTTTCTGTGTAATACCCTTAAACTTGACACTTAATGAGAATCGTGTTAGTTTAGAATGTTCACAACCAGTGGGTCGGTCTGGGGAAACCTATCTTGATAAGGCTAACACTGTGGTGCCATCAAATCGGTTGGGGTGGCCTGTCTCAGCTGCTAGGGTGAGACCCTAGGCATATACAGTGTAGGATTAATTGAATCTATGAACTGGACCAGATTTCCAGTATTGCCTTGGACCTTGGAGATTGATGGGAAAAACTAGAAAGTTACACCCGACCCCTAGACTCGATTATGATACTGCACTAGGTGTCGGATTTGGTTGTCTTTGATATACCAATCAGTGAGATCCTTAGCGGGGGTCAAAAC